CATCCTGAAATTAAATCTGTAATTATTGAAAAGGCTAGAGGAGAAATATGGAAAGCACACCTTTTGTGAAATTGGTGCAAGTTTGAACCTTTGCGGATGTATTTGGTGTTTTGGTCCATAGATCTGTGTGTGTGTGTGTTTGGATTTATAAGGGTTTTGTCCTCTTGGCACGTGTTCTCTAATAAAATTACATCGTCGTTGATAAAAAAAAAATGATTTTGTACTTGCTTTGTAAAATAATGTTAAGAGACATGCAGCCCTGTCTTCTGATTTCGCTTTTAGCCTGTTTCTTTCAAAACTGGGGGATATAACTACATTCAAACATGGTCTTGGCTTATATTTTCTCTTGTATAAGGATCCTTCTGAGGGCTTCAAATTTCTGAAGTTGAGGAACTTAAATCTAGAAGCACTGTAATTATCCTCTAGAACTTGTATTGCTTGTTTTCAACTTTTTTTTCCAACTTCATAGCAAGCAGAAGTCTTTTTTTTGATTATTCACTTGTTTATTTTTTTGGGGAAGGGTCTGTGGAAAGATTTATTGATAAAGCAAGACTAATGGCAACGATAGCAGTTTCATTAGCCGTCATTATATTCTCATTAATTTAAAAATGTCAACAAGCAGCAAAATTCTATTAACCCTTTTCCCTGATCTTAATAAATCCAGTGATGACTGATTGTATGTACAATGTACTTGATGCAACTAATCCCACACTTGAATAGCTAGACCTGGCTTGTCTTGTATTGTTCTAACCTAGCACTTACGGTTTCATGGATTCCGTTTCATACGAAATTTATCAGCCGTGTCACTCCATTACTGTCCTACAAATAACATTTGTTTCTGGGTTGCATCGTGATAACTTCGGATGCTCTTAATTTGATAGGCAATTTTTGTTTGTGTTTTCTGTAGTTTAATTTGCTTACTCAGCCGAGCTTAATGCAACATATGTTTGTTTTACAGAGCAATGTGAAAGGGATAGGGCACGTGTTCTTGTCCACTGCATGTCTGGAAAAAGCAGGTGAAATTTTTAATACAAATTTCTGTGTTTTTGGGGTTAAACCTCTTTTTTCTATCAATATGAAATAGTACACAACATAGATTTACAAATGCATGCTTGCACACAGTAATAATTAACTGTCATTAGGACATTAACAAATCGTATCTTCACCTGGGATTTTATGTATGCTATTTTTCCTCAGATCGCCAGGTATTGTGATAGCTTATTTGATGAAGAGCAAAGGATGGAGACTTGCACAGAGTTACCAATGGGTGAAAGATCGGAGACCACCTGTTGAATTAACTCAAGGTGATGCCATAAAGTTATATAGATTGATTATATTTTAATTGATGGAAGCTAATTTGTTTGGTGGTATATATGCTTGGAATATCACATCATCAAAGCAACAAACAATCAGTAGTGTGTAGGATAAGGATAAAAGAAACAAATTGATACTACTTGACTTAGCAGCTGACCATTTCTTAGTTTTGTAAGAGCAACTCAACACTAATAGGCATTTCGCCTAACAAAAGTACATAAAAAGTAGCTAGCCAAGAGAGGGTGAGGCAAAATGCTACCGTGTTGCCTGTCTTGTTGGAGCTCCGTTCTGTCACGATACCAGGCAAAATGCCTTAGTACTATAAATGCCTCTCCCATTGGAATTATAAGATCACAGTACCTGTTTGCATGCTAGTAGGGTTAAGAGGGAGACAAAAATCAATAATGGTCAAGAAAGATAGGTCGGATATTCATATCTTTATTTAAGAAGAATTAAAAGATGAGTCATGTTGCATGTATGTTTGTGCATGCTTTCTTATGGCTTTTGCCCGAGCAGACTGCTTCTTCCCTGGTATCAGCATCAGCCAAAGTTCTTGTCATTGTTATTCCTGCCTTTTCCAGCTTATATTTCAACTTATGAAGCACGGACACGGACACTCGGACACGCAAATTTTCAAAAAATAGGAGACACGACACTTGTGAATTGGCTCAAGTTTTGTTCTTTATTTGAGGATAGCAAATGTAATTTGGGAATGTATTCGGGGTTTTGGTTTGTAGATGGATCTATAGACCAACAGTTCCTCTAGGAAAGAGGCAAACTTAAAAGACTACAAATCTTTGGTTAATTATAATGGAGAAAAGGGGTTTGATGCTATTAAGGGGTTGTTGGGCCCTATGGAAGGAGGCATGTTAGTGGATTTTATCTTCATGGATGA